AGGATAAGCAAGATTTAATAGCAACGTGAAGCCTACTCTTAGAGTATAGGAAGCATTCAACTATCAGTCTTTTATCAAGAGAGTAACTAGAGTGACTACAGTTCGTATTCAGGATCTACTGATAGTATATAAACCTACTCACTGAGGATATAAGTAAAGTAGTCGATCGTAATAGCAAAACACTAGCTTGCCTAATCGACAATTACGCCATAAAATGTGATATGGAATAGGCCGGGCTTGCCCTGAAATTCGCGTCTTCCCCATGAACACCTAGCCCTTGTGAAATGAGGTAGTGATAACATGTCAAAATTATGCGCCGCTTTACTTGTTTAGAATGATGATGAAACCCAGGTGAGATCAAGAATGCAGTCCATCCTTGACCTATAATACTTTTTTTGGAAATAAGATAAAGTGAAACTCAATGGTATCGTAAGGTCTACTCATACCATTGTTATAAGACTAAATTATCAGTTTTTAATTACCTTATTCGGCTAGGGTGACGACAGCTCTTATTTGAAAGTTAAAAGATGGGTAAAAGATAGCAGAAAGAAATATGGCAAATGAGAATATGTTTTAAAAAAAGAAAGTATTGGCAGTTTGATTACATCTGCAGCTCTTGAGCTTTTTGGAGGGCAATACCGGCAGAGCTGGCCAGATGAGAGGCACATCGAATGGAGGGGCCAAGAGAGCTGGCCAAACCAGTTGAGTTAAAATGAGCGAATCCTACCAACTGGGTGGCGTGAAAGAGAACGCGATGAAGCAGGCTGTCATGTGAACCAGCATAGACACGGAGTGCGTGACCCAGCATAATTTTGCATGTTGAAATATTGGTCAAAAATACAGGAGGAAATATGTAGGGGTAAAGAAAAGAACACAGAGAAAATTTTCATTTTATGCGGGGATAACCATTTTGTGACCCTCATAAATTAATTTAAGTGGCAAGCGTATGCTACTAATTTGCTTTCATTTAGTAGACCAAACCTGGTGCCCTTGCAAGTAGTATACGTAACGTCATCTGGAGAAATGTTGGGTAACGCATACTCTGAAAGCAGGTCCATCTTCGCACGCACGTAAAATAGAAATAGTTAATTCTATTAACTTGCCGGGATATACAACCAAGAAATAGTTAATACAAGATTAATGAGAAGTGAGCAATAGATGAGTCTAGACAATAAAATTCCCTCAACCCCACCGTGTTAACATAAGACTGCTCAAATGGAACACCGAAAATAATAAAAATAAACAAAAATATCAAATAAACACTCGCAGATATTAAAACAAGATAATATGGCTTAGGTCAAATCATGGACTCATTCTACTGTATGAAGTTGGTTAGACCTTGGTTATGCAATCTGATTTGTTTCCGAGTAGACTCAGAAGAATGCACTATCTACCGCCTCCTCTAGCGCCATTGTCATGTTCTTTTCCAGTACGATACAGATGAATGGGTACATTCTCAAACATCCAGGTTAGAGAACTAGCGAAATGAAGAGGGAGAGATCCACACAAGCGGTCCCAAGGGAAAGAGCCAAATTAACTAAGGTAGAATATACAAGCAAGACATGAGTATTCCAGAAGAATGTTGTTGTTAGTGTGGGGACAGCTGTGAAATCATAGTTTTGAATATAAAACCTAAAACAAGCAGTAAGCCAGAGAATCATGTTTTGAATTAATCCTAAATGAAGCTTTCATACATCCAAAGGCCGAACCTATAAATAATTATTCGAGTATAACGGATAAGTTGGCTAAGACTACTTGAAAAAAGTTATCAAGCTAATTAAGATACTGGTTGCAGCAGAAATAAATGACTAGATTAATATATGGTGAAACTAACAGCAAGATAGACATATTAAATTTGTAAAAATGAGATAGGAATGAATGATGGATATGAGTTATGGATGGTAATATAGCATAATATAATAGAAATATTCCGAGACAGAGGAGTCATTCAACAATCATTAAGTGAATCAAATAATGATAGTGAGTTAACTTGTCACTTTAGCCAATCGTAGCTTGTCTCTAAGCCTATAACTGACCAGAGACGATGCAGACTACGGTGAAGATCAAACATTTGGATGCAAAAAATTTAAGTCATTTGGAAGATGAAATCGGCTGGACATTAGCTTACTGGTTTGACTTGGTGGTAACAACAGGGAGACTTTGTAGAGGATACCCAATCTTGCGTCCTCTACAATATTATTCATAATTTCCAGCATGGAACCGTTGATTTAGTACATTC